AAGTATGTTTCGATGTCCATCGAACAAAAAGTGGAATTGCTGCAAAAAATGGATAAAGACATGAAGAATGTGACAGAGAGGTTAGTAAAAACGAAAAAATTTCGATTGACAAGTTAGTTGGTATTCTTGGCACAGCAATTAACGGGACTTGAACAGCGGAACTTTGTAATTGAACAAGAAATTATGTCTGTTTATAGAATTAAAGAGAAAGTATTATCACATAAAACGAAGCAACTTAAACAACTTACATTGAAAGAAATGTTTAATAAAGTAAACAAATAAATATTAAGCTCTTTTTTTTTTTTTTTTTTTTTTTTTTTTTTAAATTTTGATACCTTTTAGATCATAATTGTTCTTTATTTCATAAATTACGGTTTCATATTTTTAATTTTAGAATTTATGCATGCCATCTTACGAGATTTAAACTGATGATCTATAATCCTAAAAAATTGATAATCCGGAATTGGCGAAGTCCCGACGAGTCCGGATTAACGACTTTTGACTGTATTAATAATAATATAATACATTAATACAGTTAATTACTATGTATACACCTTTCTTGCCTTAGATGAAGCAAATTTATCAATTAGTTCATCAAAGTCGATCATTTGAAATTTTTCTCTTTTTGTATTTTAAAATGCTAGATGACTTAGGGATCTTGTCCTACCATTGACTGTAAATAGTCAAAATTTATTTTAATTTGCTGACCGAATGTATATAGTACGAATATGTATATGAACGAATGTATTTCATTTGATAATGAAATAGTAAGGAGTATTTGAAGTGCGACTTTTAGGTGTGGGAAAACATTTTCTCCATAGCTCTGTAATGGAATTTTAGGTTGTTTCTTTTCTACTGCGGAGTAATATCTTGCAGTTAAATTCACTGCTCAAAATAATTAGAGGATATTGTGAATTCGGTATGAAATAACCATATAATCGACAACCTTTTTAACAAAAGGAAATAGAAGAGATTATAAAGGAAAATTATAACCTTTACAAAATTGGGAACATGCAAATTTTTGTCTGTGAGGTCGAAAACTATGCGTTTTAGATAAGGAGTAAGGAGCAACCTGCAGCATTCCTTTTGTAGTTAGGAGATTGAAAACAATTGACATACGTTGAATTTTCTGTAGCAGTGAATATACAATGTCTCTGCAAGATAATTTAGTTGAAATCAGGAATGCTATCAGTCTTTTACAGGAAGAGTAAAAAAAAAAAAAAAAAAAAAAAAACCATGTTAGCGGAATCGTTTTTGGAAACTGGATATTTTCGAGAAATTCGATACGAGGTCGTGTTATCGTTTTAAAATAAAAAGGGGGGCTATATGTGCATTTCGTTTAAAAAAAACTAAAAATATATATCTATTTTAGAGAAATAAAAGTGGTCAGAAAGAACGTTTTGTATGCGAAGATATTTGGTTGATGTACTGCAAACATTTTATTACACATTTTATCAGACAAATCAAGAAATTAAATAATTAATTGTATTAAAATAATTATTAATTTTTAAATATATTTTCCAGAAATCAAACAAAATAAAAACTGAAATTTTTGGGAAAATCTTGTTTGCAGACCATTTGGCGCCGCTCGCGCGTCATACACCCCCTTTGCTCCCCTCGCTACCCCCATTGGGCAGCTCCAGAATTGGAAACTCTTTTTGACATAATTGAAAGTTCAAGCTTAATTTTTATGAAATTGTTCTAAAAGTCTGCAAAAAATAATAAGCCGAATCCAATTAGAAGATTAAGGAACAACGCAATCTGCAACATTAACTGAAATGCCTTAGATACTTTTAGCCTAGCTTATACCGTCCGTTATACATTAAACACACATGCGTAAACGCATTATGCGCATAAAGTTTGTAGCTTTGAGGTCCGGGTTATAAACGTCTGGATTACAGACTTTGCACTGTATATATAATCCTTTCAGAAAAAATGTAAAGAGCCTATCTTTCTTTCAGTACATTCCTATTTTCTGAGTGTGACTCCATATACTCTCTTGGTTCAATAGCAAATGCATTGTCATGTTTTCAGAAATTCATGATTTGCAACTATATTCTTTGTTTTAAATATGAAAAAAAAATGAGCGACGGAAACACATACAGTTGAGATCAACTTGTACAGCCATCTGGACAAGCCTGATTGACAATGCGGTAACCATTCTCTCTGCGTTTTCAACGAATTCCATACTCGCAGAATATGACTAAAGCTGATTTTTGCTACTAGCAACATCTGACAGACAATAACTGAAGATGCTTCTCGTGGCATAGTGTTCAGGTTCTTACAAGAGAACAAATTTGCTCTTCTTCCACTCTAGTCCTGTAGAAAGAATTTTCCTTCTCATGCACTTTAGTTTCGTCCTTCCTCTCATCAAAGAAGATGCTATACAAAGACTGTATCATTGATTTAGCGGTTGACTAAAGCTGAGACAATACATTACGATGTCTGAGCCCACCAAGTGGTAAAGTAGCTGAATACTGGTAGTTTGGTCCGAGGTTCGAATCCAACAAACAGGCTGGCTGCATGGGCATTTTTGTGGTTTTCCCCATGTGTAACATGTGTACGAGCCAGTTTCCCTTAGAAAGTACTCAATGAAGGCATCCATCTCCTTAGGCAGATGGCTCTTAAGGCTTTGCCATAATCTCGTAAAACCAAACGACGTTCTCTGCAGCTTACTTCTGTCGATAACTTTAGCTTGAGTTTCTTTAGATATAATTTCCAGATTGAGGGAATTTGAGAATCAGTTGCTTTCAGACGTTTGGATTCTTGACTGTCATTATCTTCAGGGATGTCTTCTGAATCAGACACTAAGACAATATTCTCCTTTAAGTCTGAAATCATCGTAGACTAGCATGCATTATCTTTATATGCCCTTGCTTTAGATTTCTGATTTTCCTTTCTTTTGCATTGTAATTTTCAGCTTTCAGAAATGTCTATCAACCCAATGGCTGTTTTAATTTCCTGCTGTTGGTCTGTTAAGAAATTTCGCTCTATGCTTATTATGCTTAGAATGTTCATGGAATATTTTACATTGTTCATAATTCAAACATTTGCGTGCAGAAATGTAAAAGTACTGTTTGCATGATCTAAGAAATCTTTCTTAATTTTATCAGCCCCCTGCCGAGATTTTGGTATTCTTTTAATGTTTTTGTATTTTTCATTGTAATTTCTTATAAGACTTATAATTTCTTGTTGAATTTTAGATATGGAGCTTTTATTCCAAATTCTTGAAATGCCATAGGAAACTGTATTGGTAATGTGCTTGACTGACAGGTCTTTCTTGTTTCCTTTCTAAGATAACTTATCTCTGACCCGAAGGAAATGCTTCAATACAACAGCATAAGTGTTTAAAACTATCTCTTTAAGTTGTACTGGAGTTCCAAAAACATTACAAAAAGATGCACATCTAGTTGATATTATCTTAGTCCAACATAAACAATGGCTGATAAAGCAGGATCGACAAAACACACCAAACAACCAGCTAAGTAGGAATAAAAAGTCATTGAAAGATTATGGAAGCCACATGATTGCTTAGCCCAAGCTAGAACAAATAATCAGAATAGAATCCATTCTGCGATCTAGTAGCATATTTTGGCATGGAAAGCAATTTCTCATGCTAATGATGCATTTTTGACAAAAGCAGTTCACGAAAAAAGCATAAAACCGGTTAAAAAGTCAGTACAGATATTCACTTGATGTGTTTGATGTGTGGAACCTCAAAATGTTAAAATTTTGGGCTGAAATTTAAATGCAATTTGTTCTAGCTCATTTCTAACCATATAATGAATCAGGCAATATGAATTTAAAAAAAAAAGAAAAAGTGTTTTTAAGTCTTTATTCATATAAGTTGGTAAATTATGCATTTTTGCTTTAAAAGTGATTGAATTATGATGTTCTTAAGTTCTGGTTAAGATTTTTGCCTTTAGTTAATCTGCATGCAATCGTTGTAGAATTATCAGCAATTTTGAAGTGTAAGTTTTGGTTGGTCTAGCAAGGCAGCTATTTATTTACATTTGAAACTCTAGCAGTATAGTGAATTATTTCAGTTGCTGCACCAACTTCAGTTTCTTTTTGTCCATTGGGGCCAAAACTTGACTTTTAAATTTTTTTTTGCAATGAAAATTTTGTTTTCCTGCTTGTTGGCTAAATTGCTTGTTTTTCTGTAGAAATTTTATTTGCAAATATTGTTTGTTAAACTCTTAAACTAAATGTGATATTTTAGGTTTTTTAATATTTTACAAGTTTTAATGAAAATGTTTTGAGTTTTTATGTATTTTTTCCCTGCTGTGAAATGAGAACTGACTGGATTGAATGCAAAATATATCCCTAATGAAATTTGGGGAAATAGTTTTAAACTATGTGCAGCAAAATATGTTTATAATTTAATAGGCCATACAAGAAAGTCATGGTGTTGACATCAGATTTATTTTTCATAATTTGTTATTGAAACATGCCACTTTCTATTAATAGCACCTGTTAAGAAAGCTTTGTCACCAGTGTTGGAAAACTATTAAATAATGCTTGTTGTCAATTGAAAGAATAAAGTTAATTCGAAGATTTCCAATATGACCAGTAACATGAGCATTTTTTATAAACAGTCAACTACATTCATTACCTGCATTAAAAAAGTTAAGACATTTCAAATTATGAAATATATGTTTGAAAATTAAAATATATAAAGTTGTAGTGTACATACATTTGAGTATAAAACTTGGAAAAATTGAATTTTGATATCTAAATGTTGTAGGGTTAAATATATAAAAATTATAAAATATTTACATTTATCTTTTTAAATTATAAAAACAGTGAACAAATCATTTAAGTAAATAAGTAGGAATGGAGGAGGAGAAAGCATAATTGTGAATCATCTGTTTACCAGACTACTAGAGAAATCAATCATATTTGGCACACTGTTTTAACCCCTTTCTGACAAAGTTCCAATAGGAAGGGAAAAAAAGATTTATATTTTATGTTATTGACCTTTTCCTTATTTTATGTAGGTATTTTTACTGATATATATTGCATACTGCATGATACATTGGATGTGGAGACGAAAAATAGACCCTGATAATTCGGCTATTCCATATCTTACTGCTCTGGGAGACCTGCTCGGAACATCACTACTTGCATTAGCATTCCTCTTCCTATTTTACGTAGGAGATCATAATCCAGATATTGCTGAGTGAATTGAGATTGTTAATGCCATGGAAGTCAAAATTGCTACACTGCAATAAAAGCGTCCATTTATGAATCTTCTCATCTGTAATATTTACATAAGTATTTCTAACCATATATACCAAAAGGACTATTGTTGTCATTCAAATAAAGAAATGATAAACTTTAAAAGGAAATTAAGTATCTATAAAATATGTTATCAAACAGAACGAATTTTAAACCATGATCAACTTCTGTTATTTAATAAATATGATAGGGAGCATATGTTTCGTCATGTATATAGAAGAATTTTATATTTTCCATGAAGTTTAGTCATTATGGGGAAAATTTTCATGTGAAATTGTTTATCCAAAGTACTTAAATTAATTCTTCCATAATCTGATTACATGTACATCAATGTTCAGAAATATGAAAATGGAAGAAATATTTCTTGAAATGATATCATTCCTAAACCATATTAGCTGCCATATGAACTGTGATTATAAAAATTTGACTTACCATCTTCACACTGAAATTTGGTTTATGTGATATTCAAAGTATAAGGAATATTTTTTTTTTTTTTTTTTATATATTTGTATTTAATTTTGTGTTGACTTTCTTGAAAGTAACTTTTTTCTATATAGTTAAAAATTTTTTAGGAAATGTTCATAAATGACTGAATTATTTTCTGAATTTTAGTTTAACAGTATTTTGCTTTAATTCAATTATACAATAAGTGCTAAAATAATTTTTCAAATTAAATGATTATATTATGAAAAATGGAAGCACTTCATAAATTTTCCCCCTTTCTCTTTTTTAAAACTTTGAAATTAATTGATGGAAGTGTTTTAAACTAAGTTAAAAATTACTTTTTTTATTTAAATTTCATTTTTATCATTTCTTGTATGTAATCATCTAATTTTTGAACTTGCAGTGATTAGATATATAGGTGTATATGTACCTTAATATATTAGACCATTTAAAACGTTTCCATTAGTTATATATGTGTATGCATTTTATAGACTATAATTTTCTGCATTTATAGTTTAAATTTAAATTTGGTAGTCAATGTATTTTTAGTTAAAATGTGAGTACTTTAATGTTATGTGTTCTTGTATTTCTTAAAAATCACTATGCATATTAGTCGTACCTCTGCTGAATTGTTTTAAGTAATTAGATTACCTGTTCCACGAATTATAAATGTACTTAAGTGTCTAAACTTTTTAGAGCTGTTTTTAACACCTTTCATAAAATACATTCTACATTTTAAGATAAAATGTAATCTCAGCAGAATTTAATATTACACTGTGAAACTATATACTTGTTTTTTCTACTTTGCCTATAAAATGAGATTTATTGAATAAATTAAAGTTTGTGCATTTTTTCTGATTAGTCTTCTGTGAATACATTTACTGTTATTTATAGAGAATGTATTTTATAAAAGGTAAAAGCATTTTTATCAGAATTTTTTTTTTGATGTTCAAAGCAGTTTAGAATTTGCCATGTAAAATTTTCCTATTTTGTTTAATCCCATGAATGAATACTTTTAATCTGTGGTAGTTTGTATTAAGAAACCTGTTTATTTTTATTGATAGTTTCTTTTTCATTTAGTTATTGCATTTATTGTTACATATTTTAAGTATATGAACATTTTCATTATGATATAGTTAAAAATTTTAAATCATTGCTAGCATTATTAAAGGAAAACGTTAAAATTTCAATTGTGTTAATATTATAATTTCAGAAATAAATATGCAAATATTGATTTTATTATTAATCTTTAAACATTTGGTGCTATAATAAAGTTAATCATTATTTATTAATCTTGTAGAAAAACTGTTATTTTTAAATTATGTTACTATTTTTTAGATGCACATAAACTTTTGAAAATATTTTATAAAACAAATTTAATTATTTTTATTCCCTTTAACTCTACATAATGCATTTTTGTATGTAACTCAAATTTGTCATTACATATGAGATGAATTGAAGTACTCGTTAAAATATTTTTGATTTATAGTATTCTAAATTATTTGGCCTCCTCTTTTTTTTTTTTTTTTTTTTTTTTTTTTGGTTTGTTTGTTACTTGGTTTCTGTAAACCTAAGATATGAATGTTAATTGCAACTCAAATGTAGAATTTTAAAAGCCGTTTTTGAAAAAAAATGCTGTTTTGAGTTTCAAAATATGATTGAAATGTAATTGTTTAAGTCTGTTTTATTTGTTTGAATAATGTATTATGTATTTAAAAATGTTTGTCATTTGAAGTAATTCATTAATAGAAATAATCAGTATTAAAATGTGCATGAATAAACTTGATATTTCTGACACTTCTTCCCCTCCCCCCCCCCCCCCGGTGACATGTAATGCTTTAGAATGTATAGCTTTTTTAGGAAGCATTTTTCATCTAGTCTTCTTAATTGCATTTAAGTATGGAGTTTATATTAATTTGAGTAGTTTGATCAGTTTATAACTTTGTACCTTGTTGCTGATTATTCACTTAGTATACCAGTATTCAGAGTCTTTAACTTGTGATATTTTCTAAAAATGAAGTTTTAGTATATTTTTATTTAGTAAAAATAAGTTATATAATATTTTATAGTTTTGTAGTGCAGTTATTAAATTATAAAGAAATCAAAAATTTAGACTGTCCGAATCTCAATTTTGTCATTTATTTTTTATACTTTTGAAAATGTGTGAATCATTTAATAATTATTTTTCATTTTACTGGATGATCAGTTTTAACATTTACTTTATTATGATCTCACTTGTTTAAAATGAAGGTACTTTGTTTTTAAATTTTTTCCCCTGTTTTGATATTAAAAGGTTCTACAGCTATTATTAGTGAAATTTATGTATCAGCAAGTATCTTTATTTGCTTCCAGTCTTGAATTAAATGATTTAAAAAAGTATGCTAGAGCACTTTCGTTTTATTAATAGCATGCTTCAAATTTGTCAGGGCATGTGAACCAGGTTAGCTTAATATAAAAAATTGTAGTTATTTATATTTGACTGCATTTGCCTTATACTGTGCTATTTTAATAACCATTTAAAAATTATTTTCAGATTTTCCTTTTATACTTAATATGGTGCATTATTGATATTTTAAGCCCGTGTAATGCGGAATCAGTTTTAAAATTTGAATTTATTTTATATGAAGATTGTGTTTTATCATTTATCAAACAGCAAATTTGAATGAGTTATTGGTTTAATTTAAAAATTTAACACTACTCTAAACTTTCCAATTACAAGTGATATATTAATGCATGTTGTGTTTTAGTTGGTTTTTTAATAACCTATAAATTTCAATTAAAAATAAATTATTCATAATTAAAGTTTTGATAATTTTGAGATATAATCATGTGTTTAGAAAAAACATTGTGGAGCATTTTTAAATGTAGCAAATGTTTAGTTCATTTATTTTTACACCCATGTGATAAGTTTCTTTAATTTATAAAATTTTAATACTAGTCAGTTTAAAATGTCGTAAGTTATCAGAATTGTGATAGCTGCACAATCATGATTAGTTATGTTTTATATGAAAAAAAAGCAAAATAAAAATGTAACTTGTAGACATCAGTTTAAAAAATGGATGTGTTGTGATATTAAATATAATGAACTTCATTTTTATAGTCTGTATTTACTATTCTGAGAAATGGCATTAACATACTTACACAAAAATAACATCATATATTTAATATTTAAAATTCAGTGCTTTTTATTTATAATTTAAACAGTAAGAGCATTACAAGTAATTTAAAAAATTGAGCAAATTGTTGTGAAATATGTTTAAAACTTAACTGATTTATATGCTTAAATCATGAATATAACAAGTGGTATTTATGTATATTTGAAGACAAACATTTATCTTAAATTTGGTCTTAAACGGCACTTCTTTGGATGTGCTTTTTTGAAAATATTATGTCAAATAAGATCAGCATGCTTCATTCATAACTCTTAAAACTTTTATACAAGATATGCAGTCAAAATTTCAATATAAATGAATGGATGAATTTAAAACAACTAATTAGAGCTATAATAAATTATGTCTGTAGCTTCTCTTATGGTATTCAGCTGAGTATATTTTTAATGTACAATAATCTTCCAATATAATTATAAATAAGCTAAGCTAATTTGTAATCCCTTTGAAGTACAAAAGAACTTTTGAAATACAAAATTGGACTCAATAAATTTGAGAGGTGAAATGTTAAGCAAATAATGTCATGTTAATTAAAATGTAAAAGATGATATAACAGTACATGAGTTAAATAAAAATGATTTTATTATTTTAACATTTTAAATAACTATGTACAAATTTTATCTATTTCAGAAGTTAACATTTCAAGTCTTTCCATTTAACAGATACTGGATAAAAATCATGATTAAAAGATGAATATTTTTAACAATCAGAAATTAACATATATTTCTTAGCCTGTAAGGCTACTAACCAAAATTAAAAAACTGCTTTATGGCTATTTATATATCCAGATACACTTTAGTGCATATGTTATAACATTTAATTTTTACTATGTGTGGATTAAATTAGAAATTTCACACAACCGATGAAATTAGATACTAAAAATAATATATTTACTTGCAATTCTGGAAAAGAAATTGGTAGACATAACAAACTTCAACTATGATAAGTTAAAATTCAGTACATTCCAAAGTGTTTTTATGGATGATTTTAAACTTGCATCAATAAAATAGTTAAAAATGATCTCAAATATACTTGATTTTTTAGGCATTAGTATGACATGAGAGCTCGAGTAGTAAAAAAATAAATAAATAAAAAATAAGCATAATCATCTGTCGTATTAAAATTAGTCCTTTATTTCTTTGACAAATATTGGCTTCTGAAAGAATCATATAATGAGTATGTAAAAACCTTAAGAAATTTCATGCATAAGTTTGAAATCTAACATCAAGCCCTGCTTTTGATTAGTTACTTCATAAGTGTATTTTGTAAAAATGTTTTTAAAAAAATCTATGTAAGATACGCTGTACAGCAGATTATATAAAAAAATGTTTAAAGCTAAACGTTTTTTGGGGTGATGTCAAATACATTTTTAAATAGTATATTTCTTTATAAAAAATGAATTTTTTTAAATATAAGATCTAAAATGTTTATATTTAACTATATAATTTAATAATAAAGAAATGAAATGAATGGCGTTTAATAATTCTATATTCTTAACAATATAAATATACATATTTTGATGGCTAAGCATATAAAAATATAATCAAAAGTTCAGTATGATAAAAAATGAATCCACTTAACTGGAATTCATCTATACGTAGATTATAAAATGTTTTGTAGGAAGTCAAACTATTAGCAGTTACAAATATCAAGGCTGTGCACTGTTCTCATTATTCTGATAACAAGTAGGAAGCCATACTTCAATGTTTTTATGAGATTTTTCGTTTAGTGTAGCATTGTCAGGGCTTCCGAAAATAGACTTTTCCAGGTTACTTATTGAGCTGTCAGTAACCTTATCAGCAACTTTATTTTCGAATGAGAGATCTTCCATTGCAACTGTATTATCTCTAATAAACTCATCTTTTTTATATTCAAAAGGTTCTGATCTATTTTGGAATAAATTGAAAAATTTGGCACTAAAATCATTATTGTCATTAATTGGAACCATGGATGATTTGTCACTGAGAACTGAAGTTGTAATCATCATGTTCTAAAAGTAAAAGGAGTAAAAAAACTAGTTAAAAGGAATTTATATAGCATATGCATTTTAATATTCTTACATAATTCTCAAATATTTTGCAAGATCTATATGATTTAAAAAATATCCTACAAAATATAAATTTTTCATATATAGTGGCTTCCAAAAGTGTTCGTACACTTATGATTTTCATTGAAATAGGGCTCTATCCATTAATTAAAAGTAAACTTTCTGAATGAGATTTTAATAATAAGATCTATAATCTGTTCGTAACAAAATTACATGAAATGTTTTTAAAATATAGTGAAACTAAGAAATTAATAACAAAAAACGTTTTATCTCTCAAAAGTCTTCGTACAATTCAAAAAATCTTGACATATTAGTAAATATTTTCATTTTCCGTTAAATTAATATTTTGTAGGATATCCTTTAGCATCCACAACAGCTTTTAAACGTCTGAGAATATATTTTACTATTTTTTGAATCATTTCTGTATCAATGTTCATCCAATCTCCCATTATGACTGTTTTGAGTTTGCTTTTCGTTTTTGATGTCGTGTTCTCGTACTCTAACCTGCAGTTCTTTCCAAAAGGGGTTTAAATCTTGTGACTGAGGTGGTGTTTTCAAAACCTATGGGCAATTATAGAGACACCACAGGCGAACGTTGAGAGCCGTATGCTTAGGATCGTCATCATGGTTCAAAATAAAGTTGTTTCCAATACCCAGATTTTGGGCTGACAATTTTAAATTGTCTCTTAAAGTATTTAAATAAAGAGAATGATTCATTATGCCATCAATAAATACCAAATTACCTAGTCCTGATGCTGCCATGCACCCCCACAGAAGAACATCTCTACCGCTATACTTAACTGTTCTAAGTTCTTAGAATGAAGTTCCTCATTTTTTTCTTCTCCATACAGTTATTCGACTATTGGAACCAAAAATGTTAAATTTGCTTTAGTCAGCAAATAGGACATTATTCCAGTACGTTTCGGGTGTATTTATCGTTGATTTTGTGAATGAAAGCCTAAGCTTTCTGTTTTTCTCGCTAACAAAAACTTTTTTACGAGCAGAACGCCCATGTAATCCAGCTTCTCTGAGAACTCGTCGAACAGTTTCAGGTGAAACTGAAGTACGAAACTTTGCATTAAATTCTGCAAAAACTTTTACAGCACTCAAACGTAGGTTTTTCACAAATTTTCTAATAATAAATCTCTTATCACGTTTAGTTTAACTTTCTTGGTTGACCTTTTCTTACCTTGTTTTCAATCTGATTTTCTTCGTTAAAGCATTTTATCACATACTGCACTGGCCCACCAGCAGGCGAGCAGTAAAGTCGCTGAACACTGGTAGTTCGCTCCGAGGTTCGAATCCCACGAACGGGCTGGCTGCATGGGTGTTTTCATGCTTTTCCCCATGTGTAGCGTGTATACGAACCAGTTTCCCTTAGAAAGTCCTTCACGAAGGCATCCCTCCCCTTAGACAGATAGCCCTAGTGTGCGTTGTCATAATTAAATACACACACACACACATACTGCACTGTAGAATGGGATAAATTAACTAATTTAGTGATATTTTGAATTGATTTACCACTACTATGGTGAAAAATTATCAATTTTCGAATGCTGTTTGTAATTTCTTTACGACTGTGACCCATTTTTCAATAGTAAATAAGTAAACAATAAAAAATTAATGCAAACGATTTTTTAAATGCCACCACAATGCAAAAATTTAAAAAAGCGGCAAACGATTATTCTAATTTTGCTTTTATCCAAAAATATTTCAGTGTACGAAGACTTTTGTGAGATAAAATGTTTGTCATTTTTTTATTATTAATTTCTTAAAAATAAAGTTTCACTCTATTTTAAAAATACTTCAGTAATTTTGTTACAAATAGATTATAGGTCTTATTATTTAATCTCATTCAGAAAGTTTACTTTTAATTAATGGATAGAGCCCTATTTCAATGAAAATCATAAGTGTACAAACACTTTTTGGGAGCCACTGTATAAATCTGAGACAAGTCACAAATTTTTATTTTACAAAAATACATTTAAAATATTTTTCTTACTGTTATGGGAACATTCATACACGCAAATTGTTTTAAGGGTGCTACTTGAATTTTAACTGTCATTATATGGAAAGTAAATATTCATATTATAAATCCATTATATAAATTCTGGCATTTTTAAAATATAATATTAATTTACTCTTAATTATGAAAGATAAGTAATTTATTTTTAGAACAGTTTAGACTTAGTAAAAATCATTTTCATTTCATTTAAAAAATATATATATTCTTATTTTCAACTTCCAGAAAATCCTTAACCAAGACTTCTTTTCTAACAAAAGTATAATTCTCAAATATTTTGCCCTAATGAACAACCTACATTGCCCTAGATTATAACTTGATCACATTCGGATTTACTTCTGCCATTTCTCATCACAGAGAGGGAATAAAAATAGCCATTATTATCATTGCAGTACTGCAAAACTAGATTGTATTTTGCATATGATTCCACAACTCTGACCTCTCCCATAAATAAAGCAATACCACTAACAACTGGGCTTTAGTAAGCTAAAAGTGAAGGAAGCAAGCAAAAAATATTCAAACAATCAAAAGTCGGAGAAGCTGACAATTTGAATTCGTACATTTTGACATTTAATGTGACATGTTAAATAGGAGCTATCAAAGTTTGGCTATGTCCGATTTTTTCTTTTTATGAATTGACTCGTTAATTTCCCTTCATACAATTAAAAATGATTTAAAGAACTACTTGCACAACTACTGCTTTAGAAATCATCTTTAAATGGCCATTATGGTATAATAAATGGTTAAATTTATGACAAAAATTAGCAAACGATTCAATCCTTAGCTATTTATATAAATGCATATTTCATATGAAGCTTTCATGCATTTATTAATATATAGATGAAAAAACTTCATTTATTTGCAAAAATGGGTTTTTAATTATAATGAAACTTAAATACCTGAAATGATTGGAAAGGTCCTGTTCTTTGACTAGAAGATAGAAGTCTAGATCTTGAAAATTGTAAACCCTCAGGAATTATAGATTTATCTGAAAAAATTAAATAATTGTTAGACCCTTTTTAGTATAATGAATATATATAAAGTGTCATATTTACTAGGTCATTCAAATATGACAGATGAATTCAATAATCAAAGAAGTGAAATAGTTACATAACTTGCAAGGCATGAAGTAATCTCCCTATACTACAGTGAATCTTTCCTGTATTCTAGAAACTGCTTTATTCCCTCTTCAAACATTTGATTAGATGTGTATCCAATCTCGAATCACTGTCATGACAATAGAAACTAAATCTAGACTTACACAGACCTATCCATACATGAAGAACAATATAGAGAACAACTGAAATGTTAGAGCTTGAAATCCCTTCTCAATTAAAATCTTCACAGTAGTTCTCTACCTCAGAGACTAAAGGACTTCGTGTTTCCTCATCAGGGTTTCACAAGTACACATATGGTTGAAAAGACCGAGCTTCCATTGTATTGTAGACATGTATTCCATTGTAAACATGTGACAATCATAATATCCACAGTCTTTTACTATGCTGCAGAAATCAAAGTGAAAAAATTCAATAGTTCATGTTATATTTAAACGCCCTGATATATATAAGTCAATGCAACATTTCTCAATTTGTTTTTCATTGATCACAAATGCTCCTCAAAGCCTGCCATTGTGATTCTCTTGGAATTTAAGAAAACAAAGTAAAATTTAAATTAAACTTTGGAATACCACAGTATAGCTGAAAAAAGCTCAGAGTTTGAAAATTACACATGGCAGTCATCTCTCGCATTTTCTCTCAAGATGGGATCTTTTATGAAATTTATTACTGGTTGTTCTACTTGCGTACTTCCTCATTTGGTCCTAGCAACAAAAAAGGGATTTAAAGCACTATGATTGTGATGGTTCTTACCAGTACACATTCAAACATAGAACAGCCATGCAAGAAAAGCAGTTGACAGGTTTATGCATTTCATTAATGTGAATATCAATATTTATTTAATTTTTAGTTAAGATAAGTAGTATCCAAACTCTGAGAGCCTAGAATTATTAAAAACAAACATAAATTTGCTTTTGTTAATTCACTTCCTTAATAGTACTAATATAAAATTAATTTTAATTAAATGATATTTTAAAAATATACTTTCAGTAACATATGCTAAACAATTGCTTTTGAAGGGGACTAAAGTAAGGCAGTCTGCAAAACATTACAGTTTAAAAAGATTCAAGAAAGGCTGGGTTAAGATACAGAAGGTGCTTACACAATTTTAGAACAGTTTCGATAAAGAATGAAAAAAAAGCAAATGTTTTGGAATAGACATTTCTGGCAATAGCTTATTATATTTGAAATAAGAGATATCATCTGCATTTATTCTTCTTTCAAAACTTAGAATTTAAACAAAGTGTGAAGGATATCTTATTGTGCTTTTTAAAGAGAAGTATTCCATAATTCAAAAACGTTATGAAATGCTTAATATTGAAATTTCTAAAAACAAAATAAGGAACATTATTAATCAGAAAAAGGAAACCATCAGTCATTATTTCTACATGGAAAGAAGACTCCAAATGAATAATCCTGAAAAGGTACATATACTTACTAATGTTTCATAATGTCATGACAATAGAAACTAAATCTAGACTTACACAGACCTATCCATACATGAAGAACAATTGAAATGTTAGAGCTTGAAATCCTTTCTCCAATTAAAATCTTCACAGTAGTTCTTTACCTCAGAGACTAAAGGACTGTGTTTCCTCATCAGGATTTCACAAGTACACATATGGCTAAAAAGACCAAGCTTCCATTGTTAAAGTAATAAATAAGATTTAGAAATTCCATTGTTAAAGTAATAAGTTAAAGAAATAACGAGAAAAATCTGCTGACCTAACAATCCATTTTGGAGTAGTAAAAATCAATTTTTGTTTGTTGTTTGACTTTGAAATTTCAGTCTTCATATACATCTGTAGCAACAGTAAACAAAATAATAAACCAAGATTCACAACTCAAAAAAGGTATAAATGTTCACCAGCTTTTGCAGAGGCACGTAGCTCGACGCAGAAAAATTTGTAGAACCTATACGAAAACTATTAGCGGGAGAGAAATGAAACACAATGTGACCATCAATGAAGCATGATTTACCTAAATGACTACAACAAAAAAGATCTATTTATTATCGAAAATGAAGAGAAAAGAATATACGAACCTGGTCCTGTCAATGCAAAGAAAATTTCAGTTAGGGGTTTATGATTCTTTTACAATGAGAAATTTAAAATAATAAGAGTGGTAAAAATTAAATCAACTCAATGTATTATCAAGATAAGTTTTATGTTGGATATTTACAGAAATTCTATTTCTTTACTGCAGTGACTTTCAGAGAGTGAAATTTCATCCAGTCAAAGCACCAAGTCATACTTTGAAAAATACCACTACATTCCTTGAAGAAATGAAGACTGATACAAGGATGGCATATTTAAGTTTTCAATGTATTCCTGCCAAGTCCCCTGACATTTCACTTATGAATTATTTTGCCTTTGGTCTCTTGAAAAGAGCTCTCTCTAAGTACAACCCACCATGACTGATAGATAGATAGAAAGTAGTGGAAGAGGAGTAGAAATCAGTATCCCTGGAAATTTTGCAAAAAGTCTTCCATCATAGAAATCATGATGCAGACTTACAGTCCAGAAAAAAAGGTTATCAAACCAAGCATTTAAAAAAACATTCCTTACATTTTAAACATTAATTAAATGGTCCCAAAACTGTTCTTAAAATGCATAAAGCTGTTTGTTTATGGCAGTTTCCTCAAAAAGCTACACCTTAGAGCAGAGATTCCCAGTGAGGGTCATTGACCTTTGTGAGGTTTGATAAAATTTTAAAGGCAGTCAATGATCACAGAACTGATAGCCGAGTCAAGATCCATTGACAGTTTATTGATATAAAGTTGTATCATGTAGTAAGGAAGAAATCATAAAATAAAATAAATATAAGGTAAAGTGAATTAAAATTATCCAATAATATATTTTTTAAATCAATATTTTTGTGTAATATAGAAAAGTAAAATGCAATTTTTTAAAAAAATATGAAGACCGGAAAAAGAAGGAATGAGTTAAATATCTTTGACTGAGGTGATTTAAAAACTAAATTGAGCAGTTTTATGCCAAATATTAAAAATCACATCTCTACATGAAGCACAGCCCATCAATTTTATTAATATCAATCTTTTGTGCAATTACAATCTGTGATTTTTATTTCTGTAAACTTCTTTACATTTGTAAAATAAAAAGAGTAATATTTAAAAAAATCACTAAACATACATCTTATAAACCATTAAAAAAAAAAAAAAAAAAAAAAAAAAAGTTTGTTCATATTTTTAATCTAATTGTTACTTTAAGTTATTTATGTGCAATTATTTGTAATATGATCATGTTGTATATGATAGAGAAAAATATAAGGGGGGGGGATCGATGAAGAAAAACATTTCTGTAAAAGGGGTTGATGCAAGAAAAATGTTGGGAATCCCTTCCTAAGAGGAATACCTCAGTGGGTCTGTTGGAAACTGACTCTTATTTATGTTACCTGTGGAAAATACAGGTTAATCAAATAACCATTCATTCACTGGAATTAAACTAAGGAAACACAGCTTATGTTTAACTTATTTATTTATGTTATAGTTAGGTAAAATATAAAACTGCTGAATACTGTATTTTAATCTAAATTCCAGAACCTAGTGATAGCCAGTTTCCCTTAGAAAGTCCTCCACGAAGGCATCCCTCCCTTAAGGCAGATAGCCCTCGACTGCTTTTCCATAATCTAATAAAACCAAACCAAACCCAGAACCTAGTGAATAGTCTGGATGGGAATTGAAGACCGAAGGCAAAGTTGGATTGGAATTAGGATCGTTAACTAGAACAGAAAGATTTTTATGAATGTGAAATGCCTCTAGAAAATCCAGCTCTCCAATGGAAGATGTTATTTGAATAATTTGGGCAGCAGAAAAATTGAAAGTGTGATTTTCGGACCAACAATGTTGAGCAACAGAAGACTTCTGTGTTTCCTTTTTTCTAGCATATGCCTCATGTTCCTTGACGCGAAATTTTAAGGCTCTCTTAGTTTCGTCAATGTAAATTAAACCACACTGGCAAGGAATCTTATAAATACCCCAGGAATTCATAGCCGGAATGGGGTCCTTGAGTATGGAACTCGGAATTTTATTGATGGGAGAATAAACAACCTGAAAGTTAAATTTCTGCAAAATATGTGCAACTTTATAGCTAATTGATGGAAAGAAGGGAATGACAACAGAATTTTTATAATCTCCTAAAACAAGAACTAACAAGTTTATTATTGCTTAGTGTGTTGAGATGAGAATTTTTTAACTGCTTGATTAATAATGTTGGGTGAAAAGCCCCTGTCAATAGTTATTGCTTTTAAATAATTTAGTTCTTCATCAAGGGCTAGCTTGGAGGAGCAAACTTGAACAGCACAGAAAACATAGGAATAAAATGAAGCTAACTTTTGTTTAGTCGGATGACATGATTTAAAGTGTGGTGGAAGGCAAACCGATGAAGGTTTACGGTAAACCATAGTACTGAAGTTGGATGTATTACGTGTGACCAGAATGTCGAGAAACGTTAGAGAATTGCAAGTCTCAAGTTCAAAAGTGAACTGAATAGCAGGATGAATAGAATTCATTGTTGAAAGAACTTTATTTAAATCATCTTTATTACCTTCAAACAGGGTAAAAGTATCGTCTACGTAGCGGAACCATGCCGGGAATTTTAAAGTTTCAAACAATTTTGATTCATAATAATGCATGTAGATATCAGCCAGGATGGGACTGAGGGGGCTTCCCATGGCTAATCCCTCAGTTTGCTTGTAATATTTATTTTGGAAAACAAAATGTGTTTGTTTCAAACAGAGTTGAGTGAGAGAAATTAGCTCATCAATTTCGATGCAAGAGAAATGAAATTCGCGAAGTCTGGTTTCTAGACATCTTAATGCACCCTCCACCGGGACATTGGTGAATAATGATTTTACATCAAAAGGAACCAACTATGAGTAAATTACTAGGAGAAATGTTTTTAACCTTTTTTACAAACTCTATTGAATTTTTTATGGTGTATACGTTATTGTGTAATAGAGTTGAGAATCTAGAAACTAAATATTTAGCTAATGGATACAGTCTTCCAGTTCAAGTAGTTTAAAAAAATCTTCCCATTGTAAACATTAAGCCAATAGTTAGTATTTCTAATGTTAGTCTTTCAGAAGAACAAGAGAGAATTCTAAAATATAATTTTAACTTCTCACAAACCTGTAAACCCTCGATTCCAAAGATTTTGGCTCCTATCGAAAAAGCTTTCAAGTTCAGTAAAGTTTCAGATTCACAGAAAGAAATGATTAGGCATCTTATCGCTCATAATGTGAAATTCAATAATAAACATTTGAAACCAAATCTAACTGCGAGAGAAAGAGCTACAATGGGCGAAATTCATTCTAACCCGGATATTATCATTTCAAAGGCCGACAAAGGTGGCCAGATAGTCGTCATGGATAAGAACACTTACATCGATGGTGTCACTAAACTCTTAAACGAAGGACCATATAATCCGATCCCTAAAGATCCTTCACCTTCGGACTTGTCAAAAATAAAAACTGCGATCAAATCTTCGCAAATCATTTCAAGCAACTTAAAACATTCGCTTATCCCATCTGTTGCGAATTGTGCCAGATTATATGCTCTTCCCAAAATTCATAAAAGTGGTATTCCTTTCCGCCCTATTGTATCAAATTTAGGTACTGCCTCGTATCCATTAGCTAAATATTTAGTTTCTAGATTTTCAACTCTATTAGACAATAACATTTACACCATAAAAAATTCAATAGAGTTTGTAAAAAAGGTTAAAAACATTTCTCCTAGTAATTTACTCATGGTTTCTTTTGATGTAAAATCATTATTCACCAATGTCCCAGTGGAGGGTGCATTAAGATGTCTAGAAACCAGACTTCGCGAATTTCATTTCTCTTGCATCGAAATTGATGAGCTAATTTCTCTCACTCAACTCTGTTTGAAACAAACACATTTTGTTTTCCAAAATAAATATTACAAGCAAACTGAGGGATTAGCCATGGGAAGCCCCCTCAGTCCCATCCTGGCTGATATCTACATGCATTATTATGAATCAAAATTGTTTGAAACTTTAAACTTCCCAGCATGGTTCCGCTATGTAGACGATACTTTTACCCTGTTTGAAGGTAATAAAGATGATAATAAATAAATCAAGATTCTTTCAACAATGAATTCTATTGATCCTGCTATTCAGTTCACTTTTGAACTTGAGACTTGCAATTCTCTTCCGTTTCTCGACATTCTGGTCACACGTAACACATCCAACTTCAGTACTATGGTTTACCGTAAACCTTCATCGGTTTGCCTTCCACCACACTTTAAATCATGTCATCCGACTAAACAAAAGTTAGCTTCATTTTATTCCTATGTTTTCCGTGCTCTTCAAGTTTGCTCCTCCAAACTAGCCCTTGATGAAGAACTAAATTATTTAAAAGCAATAAGCTATTGACAGGGGCTTTTCACCCAACATTATTAATCAAGCAGTTAAAAAATTCTCATCTCACACACTAACAATAAAAACTTGTTACTCTTGTTTTAGGAGATTATAAAAATTCTGTTGTCATTCCCTTCTTTCCATCAATTAGCTATAAAGTTGCACATATTTTGCAGAAATTTAACTTTCGGGTTGTTTATTCTCCCATCAATAAAATTCCGAGTTCCATACTCAAGGACCCCATTCCGGATATGAATTCCTGGGGTATTTATAGGATTCCTTGCCAGTGTGGTTTAATTTACATTGGCCAAACTAAGAGAGCCTTAAAATTTCGCGTCAAGGAACATGAGGCATATGCTAGAAAAAAGGAAACACAGAAGTCTTCTGTTGCTCAACATTGTTGGTCCGAAAATCACACTTTCAATTTTTCTGCTGCCCAAATTATTCAAATAACATCTTCCATTGGAGAGCTGGATTTTCTAGAGGCATTTCACATTCATAAAAATCTTTCTGTTCTAGTTAACTATCCTAATTCCAATCCAGCTTTCCTTTCGGCCTTTAAAGAAATTATGTTTAGTTCTGGTTTCACCAACAGATGGCGCCACTTGCTTAGTCGGTTGATCTTTGGATTATGGTAACTTGGCGAAAATTTGGCGACCAACTCTGCTACAGCAACCCTCTATTTTTTTTTTTTTTTTTTTTTTTTTTTTTTTTTTTTTTTTTTTTTTGCCGCCATTTTGTCTTCACGAAGTAAAGACATGTTTCTTTTCTTTTTATTTACTGAACACTTTTTCCAACAATGTACAAGCCGAATTACACTTATGCTAGAAATTTTATGTAACAAAACTGCTTAATCATGACAAATATTAACTGCAAAATTGGGAAAAAGTGCACAATCGCAAACTCCTTGCACGTTTTTCAGACTAGCACATACACATAAACCATTTACACGTTGACTTATTTTTACTTAAAACAACATCCCAGAATTGCACAAAAATGGCATTGCACACACTCTTCACTATATCCATGTACACTGCTTTTTTCTCATAAATTAGAAAAATTTCACGAAAATGCATGAAAATACTCAACGTATTCTACTCAAACGTATTCCAAAATACTACAAACATTTAACTCACAAAATCACGATCATTAAATTAAAATATAATTAAATTAAAAAACACTACTTAAAATATAAATAAGCACATACATTAAATTAATAAAAATTAGATTACAATTCTAATTACTTTAAAAACTAAATCATTGCTAATAACAATTTCCAATAATAGCATATTAATTTATTTACTCCTTACATTTAGAACAATGCATAAAAAGTAATATCCTCAAATGATTAAAAATACTAACTTACCTAATCTTCAGAATCTTCATTACGTGGCACGCACACTTCCACTATTTCACACACAACACACAATGAAGCTTAATACAAAATAGTATAGTACTACAGTTTTCCAAATTCCTCCCCTTTTCCGATTAAAGAACTGTAATTCGTCCATTAATGTCACATGACATATCTCATGATCTCTCATTTCCCTCACACAAAATAATGCGTAATCGGAACTAAGTACTTCTCACATTATTACCAAAGTCCTAGGTAGTAACCTTTATCGCCTCCAAAATGTTGCCAAACTACCAGTTACCATATTCCAAAGATCAGCCGCTTATTCTTGTCCAGGCTTTCTTATCTTATCTAATCATTATTTCCTATCTTGTTCATTTGTGGTTTTGCAGCTGAGGATGGTGGTTCGGTAAAACCATCGAAACTAGTCCTGTGAAAATTTTGTAAATATAACGCTGATTTGTTGTTTGACTTCTGAATTAGTATTTATTCGGCGTGTTATTGTGTCTTAATTATGCCTTAAGATCTTCCATCCAAAATTATCCCATTCTACTGGAACACGCATACCTTAAGATCCTCCACACAAAATTATTCTGTTCTACTGGAACAAGTCCAGGAGCGCAATAGTAAAATATACTGATGTTGCTTATGGCTTGCGAGTTTAGCATTTACTTTCTCAGAAATAAACATTTGAAATTTCTGTTTGGAAAATTATGCACACTTTTGTTTTAGTAAGATTTTAAAATGTAGCTGATCTGAGATAAACTCATGTGATTATGATTGTTGACATATGATGTACAGCAGTAAAGTAATGTAACTAAGTAAGCAATTAATACAAACCATTTTCATTTCTTGTTAAAACAGAAGAAATATAATCTGACCCACTAGGTGCTGCACTGTCTGCTTCCCTAGCATCACATCCATATGAACTGCAAAAGATATAGTGCTTACTACATTTTATTTGCTTACTATTTAAACTATGTCTAAATAGATTTGGTGATGATCTACTGTCAGATCACACTGCATGAGACAGTGATACTTCATCATGGTTAATGCTATGATGAACATGCATACGCACAGATTTTCATGATTGTATAGTTTATTATAAAATTTTATTAAGGTGTAAAAAGCTTCAATAATAATGACTTTTTCACCTGATAATAAAACAAATTAAAAATATATCTGCTTGTGATGAAAGTTTTACGCCAAAAAACTTGCCTCCTCCCCCCTCCACAAAAAAAGCAGTACCTTTACGGGTAGTAAACACCACACAAATCTATGATTTTCTACCAACATTTTGCTAGTTTTCCAAAACCTTCAGCCCTTGAAATGTGGTGGCTGTGAGTCCAAAAACAGATCAACCTCATTTCAAATGCCCTGTACAGAATGGAAGATAGCACCAGCAAGATGTAGCTACAGGTGTGAAGAAAGGTAAAGTCCAAAGGAGCGATGTCAGAGCTATATGGTTGGTGTGGCAAAAGATCCCCTTTGAGTCTGTACAGAATTCCAGCCGGTGAATGCAGACGCATGTGGTCTTGCATTATCTTGATGGAACATTACCTTTTTGCAGTGGAACTCAGTTTGTCATTTATCCTTTCATAGCAGTGTCAACACTGACTAGCATCTTGCTGTACACCTTACCTTGAGGGATTTACCTTTTCCAGATACTCTTTGTGGATAATACCATGGCAATTCCACAAGATAGAAAGCATAATCTTTTTCTTAATCAAACAACGGACTCATCAAGCGCAGGGCAACCTCATTTCCGTTGTGTTGATGAGGTAAAGCCACTTTTCATCACAAGTGACAATCTGGTGCAAAATTGTCCTGCATGAATCAACAATAGTGAGGCCTGAACTCGCCTATTGCTGAGTAGCTCATGGAAACGAACACTGTCACATTTATGCAATTAACCCTTTGCGACACGCATATTTAAAATATATTTTAATCTTTAAAAAAATGCCTTAGAATAAGTCAGATGGACTTACTTAAGTGCCTTTAAGGCTTGAAAAAAATTCTGCGCTTTTATTTTTTACGGTGGAAGGTGGGATACCGTTTGTCCCACCATGCAACTAGCACATGTCTTATAGCATATTGGTGTATAGCAGGGAAAAAAAATTATATGTGGAATGAATAAACAAAATAAAGCGTGCATTCTAAAATATTCATAATAAACACACTAAAATGCATTTTGTACTTATTGCATATATGCATGACTTGTAAAATTTTGCATATGCACATTTTGCATGTAGTATATATTTAATATTTTTAAATTTTAGGAACAAAAGAAAATATTTTCTTGAATATTATTTTAAGATTAAAATTTGATACTCGTACATATGATACTAAATAAAATATTAAAATTGGCACTTGATTCAAAAACATTTATATATGACTAAAATTGAAAAAAAAGTCACTTTTTCATGAAACTTTGAAAAACATGTTTGTTTCATTCTTTTGTAAGCATAGAGGCACTTCACATGTTTCACACATGCAAAATGTTCGTCGTTCTTCTTTCGATATGCTGCAATATGCACATCTTCTCCTGCTCGTTCTCTTTGGCGTTTTACTTACATTTTTTAGTGTCTTTTCTGGTTGTACGAACGGGTTTTTTAGTTTTTATTTGAACTGGGGATTTCAGTTTTCTTTTCAGCTCTTTCTTGCCTGCAAGTGCCATTAGACCTTCTGTAACTGAGAGAAGAAAATCTTTCATTGTTTTTACATCATGATCAGGTTCGCGAACAAACTTGAATAAATGTGTTTACTATACTCGCATCTAAAAAGTAAAAAAAAAAAAAAAAAAAAAAATCATGTGCCACCATTTCTTGCTTTTGCGGTCTATTTCATATAGTCCTTTCAGTTGATCAATCAGTCGACATATCCCATATTCTTATTGTATGAAATAATGCTGTTTGGGCACAGTACTTTTTTTTTTTTTTTTTTTTTTTTGTCTTTCCATCTCGTTCCTTTCTATTAATTTCTTTCATTTCAGTTGCCTTTTCCAGGCAAGACAGGATAGAAACGGATCTTTTATCCTTCCATTTTATGCAATAAATTGAATCATCGCTAACTGAAAAGTCTATATATTCTCTTGACATAAATTTGTCTTTTAAATTTTTGGGTAGATACTTCCGATTCATATTTACAGTGCCACATGCATAGATGCATCTGTGTCTTTAAAAAGCGAAACAAATTATAACTACTTCCCTTTCTTCTTCAGCAATAACTTCAACCTCAGTTATTCTCTCCTGGATTTCAATTTCATCTGAATCAGAAACTGACATCTGAAGCATTTGAGTCGCAATCAGATGGCAATTCAGCAAAAAGATCCAAAGCTTCCTGAGTTGTTAATTTTTTCCTAGACATTTTAGCACATCAGAGCATACAACGGATGTAAAAGCGCGCGCAATCACGAAAAAAGTAGATGCAAAAAAGAAAAAAAAATAATCGTGAGTGCTGCCATCTATTGAGCGGAAATTCAAGTGTGTGGTGGGACAAATTTTAACCCACTTATTTCAACTGCAAAATTAATGTTATAAAATATTGAATACAATTAAGATTTTTGAAAATAAAGTACTTTTGAATATTAAAAAGTATCATACATATCATAAACTGTATACCAAAATTTTTAAAATATTGAAAAATGCGAGATACAGGGATATCACTCTTGTGATCCTATTTTGAATATTTTTTGCTTATAAACTTAAGCCCTGGTATAGTAGTAACATCTACTGAGAAAAATAATAACTAAAATAGATTATTTTTAAAAGATTAGAAAATTTCTAACGGAAATTGCTAACTGAGAAAATAAATATTAATTAGGTGGGACATATATTACCCCTGCAAAGGTTATAACTATTATTAATATTCTTAAATTCAACTTAATAGCAAATAATCGTAAATTTAAACCAACCTACAATGATCATAATCCGGACTCATCGGCCAGCGATTCCGGATTAGGGGTTTTTCCTGATTATAGATCATCAATTTAAATCTGGTAAGATGGCATAATTATACAATTAGAAATATGAAACCGTAATTTATGAAATAAAGAGCAATTATGATCTAAAGGGTATCAAAATTTACAAAAAAAAAGCTTAATATTAATTTGTTTACTTTAGTAAACATTTCTATCAATGTAAGTTGTTTAAGTTGCTTCGTTTTTTGTGCTAATACTTTCTCTTTAATTCTATAAACATACATAATTTCTTGTTCAGTTACAAAGTTCCATTGTTCAAGTCCTGTAATTGCTGTGTCGAGAATACCGACTAACTTGTCAATCGAAATTTTTTCGTTTTCAATAACGTTCTCTGTTACCTTCTTCACTATCGGAAGTGCACATGGGGTAAACGCTTTACTGGCTTTATACGCGCATCAAACGTTCATGCATAAATGCTTTACATGCATGCTTAAATGCATTACGCGCATGCGTAAGTTTGTGGCTTTGAGGTCCGGATTATAGATCATTCAGGATAATGGACGTCCGGATTAGAGACTTTGTACTGTAGTACCTAAAGCTATACACATAATTTGGTGATATTCTGTAGCTGACTTTATGCAACAGAAGTGGAAGTAAATGATGGTTCTAAACTGGTAGTGTGATAATTCTATTTCTGATACCTTGTAATTAATGATAATGATATTTTATTATAAATTTTAGAATACAGTGTTCTTAAGCAAGTCTCTTTCCTTCAAATGTCAAAAATCGTTTGATAAAATATGATTAAATGCGGCAACGTGAACTGTTTGCACAAACGATATTTGCGATGGCGGTAAACTTTTGTTAAAACCCGATAAAACGTTTTAATGTTTCAATTGAAAAAGACTAGAATTACTGAAATTAATTAAGGATTAAAATGTGAGGATGTTTTCCATCATAGCACAAGCAGATGACCATTTCAATACTTCTTGGTTTTACCAGTGACCAAATACCAAGGAAATAATGATGCCCTACCATAAAGAAATAAGGGTTTTAAACAATGAAATTTTAATGATAATGTAGGGAAGGAGAAGCCACTATTTCCTGCATAAAATATATGTGTGTGTAGTGTGTGTGTGTATATATATATATAATCAAATTGGAAGAAGCTCATTATAATAACTTGCCATGGTAGATGGGTGCATAAACGAGAACCTTGCAGACACGGTCAATTTCAATTGCTTCGTTTTTATTCATGGTTGGCATACATTTCTTTTTACTCCAACAGAAATCAAATCTGCTCAGTGCCTTATTCTTAAAGAACATTTTATATTGGATAAACATGAAAAATACATTTTTTGAATGCAGCAGGCAGTAGCATGTTGCTATAGCAAAGCATGGCAATTAAAGAGTAGAGATTGGCAATTAAAGAGGACGAGACTGTGCAGCAAAAACCTTTTATACCAAAGTATGATTAATTACATTAAACTGGTTACATTTTAAATCACTTTTTACATTAAGTGGATTAAATTTCAAATATATAATAGATTAATATTCGGATGCTGGATTTTGATCACATTCCAGGAATAATTGTGCTACAGAGATCAGATGATGGATCACCTTTTAGAATTACTGGAAGTAAAGAATTACATTAGAAAAGTTATTGCTTTACTATTTTTAGAATGAAGAGGGAAGCATGTTCAAATTTAAAAGAGGAATTAAAGGGTTATTTTTAATTTATTATTAAAAAAGTAGATATTTTACATTTTACCTATTCCTGTCAACTAATTGTAATAAAATTGAAAGAAGCTTTTTGTTATAACTTGACATAGTAGATTGATGCATAAACCAGACACTCACAGACATGGTTAAATTCAATTATAACCCTCTTTAATCATGGTTGGCATACATTTTTATTTAATCCAACACAAATCAAATTGGCACTACAGTGCCTTGTCCTTAAAAACTGTTTTACATTGGCTAAACTAGAAAAATATATTTTTTGGAGGCAGCTGCATGTAGCTACAGCAAAGCGAAAGAGTGGCGAACAAAGAGCAGTGACCAAAGAGGATGAGAATGTGCAGCAAAAACCTTTTATATCAAGGCATGATTACATTAAACAGATTACAGTTCAGATCACATTACAAGAATGTTTACATTAAGCAAATTAAATTTCAAATGCATAGCAGATTAATATTGGGATGCTAGGTAAAGATTTCATCACATTCTCGGGGAATATTTGTGCAATAGAGATCAGACGACAGGAAAAGTTACAGCTTTGCTACTTTTAGAATAAAGAGAAAAACATGTTCTGATTTAAAGGAGTTAAAGGGCTATTGTTAATTTATTATTAAAAAGTAAATATCTTATATTTTACATATATCTATATCTATATGTATATATAATTATTTTTTAGATGGTCATAAATCAGCAAAAGCAGTTTACTATAGTGAGGAATGTGATTTTTGAGGTAGCAAACGAGCTGCTTATTTTTTGCAATTTTTCACATTGTATCTACATATGCATTCTGTGGTAGTATATAAATTCATTTGATACTTTTTTTTTCACAAATTTAAATGAAGGGTAAAATACCCTTTTCTTGAAAATATGCAAAAGCTTTATTTTCACATGATAAATGTAAAACTGACATCAACTTGAATTTGAGGGTAAAAAAATTCTTATGAATGAAAAATGCAATTTCAAAATCCTTATTACTTGGTGTAAAGTTCAGTCGTTGCTGTATTGTTTAGTGATAAACATCGCCAATTTCAAAATTAATTGCCATTTTCTGGTAAAACCAAATTCCTCAACTTATATAGAAAGTAGAACTATAGAAAGACGTATGTGCAAAACTGATACTTTCAGTGAATAAATAATAACTTTATTTGATTTTTATTTATTATGCAAATTCAGGTGAAGATGCAGGAATGCAGACAAAAACATATTTCAACAGAACTTAGCTGATATCATTCCCCATTGGTACCTTTAAATTAAATATTTTGTTTTTATTTCTTATCATAATACCCTTGATTTCAAAGTAAGTATTGTCAATAAAGCTTTTAACTGTGTATAATTCTACCTTAGATTGTTGTTTAAACAGCTAACCCGAGATGTATTTCTTACATTTAGAAAAGTTTACTACTATACTGTCCTATAAAATGATGCAGATAAAGATTAAAATAAATAACAGTAATAAAAAGTTTTTACCGTGAAATCAAATGATATGATTGAATAATATTTCTTGACATAGACATGTGCTTAGGTAGCTGGTCATATTTAATTATCCATATTCCTAGAATAAGGAAACAATGATAAAAAATAAAGTATATATAATAATAATGATATATTTTTTTACATCTTATAATCCTGCAGTAAGATTAACTACTAAAAGAAATATATTTCAATAATTAATTGTTTTCATGTGATTTTTAACTAATTAATTTTTATTGTTTTAATTATGCTTGAATACATCAAAAGAAAAAAAACACTTAACTATATAATATAATATTTCATGCATCAATACTGTTGTATTTTCAAGGGTTTATCAAGAAATATATTTATAAATTTATATACAACAACTATTTGATAAATTTCTATAAGGTGGTATCACAATTCATCTAGTGTGTGTGATTATGGCAAAGCCTCGAGGGCTATCTGCCGAAGGGATGCCTTTGTGGAGGACATTCTAAGGAAAACTGGCTCATATACACGTTACACACGGGGAAAACCATGAAAACACCCATGCAGCCAGCCCGTTCACGGGATTCGAACCTCAGACTAAACTACCAGTGTTCAGCGACTTTACCACTCGGCCGCTGATGGGCCCCCAATTCATCTAGTAATGTCATAATTGACAGGTACTAGTGTTCAAACACACCAAGGTGAAATTTTTGCAATGCATTAGTATTCCCGGATTATTAAAGCAAATGTCTTAGCAGCTAAAAGAAAATTGGAACAAATTAATTTGTGCAATGACAAAGTATGTTTATATAAAGAAGTGGATGGTCACTGAGAACAGAAGAATGGATTTGGCTGAACTGTCTAGTGATTCTCTGCAAGAATTGAAGATTGCTTATTTCTAAGTACTTGAGTTTAAATAAAATAGAACATTCACTGAAGATGAAACATGTACTGAATACATGCAGTTGAAGTCAAAATGACAAATTTTATTGGAAAAGTACACGATGAAAGGACAGACTCTTTCACTAAACTGAGAGAAAAATCATCTAAGACAAACTAAGCAACAAATTATACCAAACAACCTTACATGGGATAATTACAATTTCATAAGCAATAAATTTGCTAATATTTATTGCCAATAAGTGATCTGCAGGCATTTATAAATATATAAATATCATTAGCTTAATGAATTTTTATAGGTTAGGATGGAGACATGCATATATTTTTTAATAAAATGTTTACTTATTATAATCATAATTACTACTAAAATTATGATTTATACATGCATTCATTGATTTAATAAAATATAATAATAACTGTTAAATGACATACAGGATGTTTAAAAAACATTGCATAGCCAGAATATTCCTATGCTAAAAAAGTTTTCGGATAATGTTTGAACAAAAGTTCTGTTTAAAATGTAGATCATTATTTAGTTATCTCTGAAGCAACATATGTACCTCTAAATACATACCCTTCTCTCTAGTGGTAATTCTGGTGGCATGATGGTAAGAAGAATCCCGGTTTGAATTCTGAAGTATGCATGCATGTTTGTTAGTGAATGGTGTCTTTGTGCCCCAAAATACCATAGAGCCAAAAGTCTATGGCTGACGAGCCATAGAGAGACTGATGGGAGTCCTCAGGTATGGGGATTCTCTATGAAAATTAGGATAGAGCTTCTACTTTCTTGCTGATGTAAGTGGTGTACTGTGGGCAGCATTCTTGATGTTTTCAGCCATAACTTTCAATGAATGCTTAAACGGAAAGTATATGACCAATGGGGAAAGGGGGAAAAAAAACTTTTCTTCATTACATCTGACAGTCTTGGAAGTCTTGGGAGAATACCTTATATGGCACATATCATAAAATAGCTATCAAATCATTCTGCATAGCTTCAAGCGTTTGAAAGTAATTAGACCTGCAAGGACATGGTTAAAAAGAGTAAACAGAACTGACAGTGAGAAATATGGAAAATTAGGAGGTAATGATATGATAGGAATCTAAGAAATTCAAGCTTCTTTGCTGAAATTGCATCATTGTGCCCAACAGTCAAAATATGCTTTAATTTTTACTGATAACAGAAACTACACTATCCCGAATTAAAACTTTTAATGAGTACATCAAGCCTTCTAATAGCCGAATCATGTATTTCAAGTTTCATATAACACGATTTTTCTGCAATTTTTTTAACAAAAGAATACGTTTTAATTCGTCTTAATACGTTTTAATGCATTACGTGACTGAAATAAGATGGACCTTAAGATATGACAATTTTGATCATATGATACTATTTAGTAAAAATATATAAAGCTAAAAAATATACGAGTCAAAGAGGAAAAGTGTCCAAAAATTGCTTATGCTGAATTAGCTTCCCCTCCAAAAAATATAATATATCGTCAATTAAAATGTTTGAGCACCATATGCTATCTGTCTATCAAGTGAATAACTCTTGCTAGCACCTAACTGGAGGCAGTCGTTAAATTAGCAGGCCTTATACATTTTATGTAGGGATGACTCAGATGAATGTTTTATCATTTAATTTTGGGAGAAAACTGGCCATGGAAAATGTAAAACAATGTTATAATGAACATTTTACTTGAAGCAAAAATAAAAACTTGTATTGCTAATCCATTCCTTAACATCAAGATGCAATTTTTTTTCATGTAACCCCCTACAAAAAAACAAATTAGGGTTGGTTTCTATAGCAGACAGTTGTAAACGTTCTGTTGGCAGGTGTTCTTATGGAAAAAAGTAGTACAAAAACTTAAATCTTGATGAAATATATAAGTTTTTTAATACAAATTTCTTAAAATCAGGTTGGAAAAACTTTCAAAAGTAAAGATTTGGTTTCAAATTATGATTATTAGATAAATTAACTTTTATAAGACCTCTAAACTGATCTTTTTTGCTTCATTTAAAAATATTTGATACTTCCTCATTACAACAGCCCCCAAGATTGAATCGCAAATCAACTAAAATATCTAACTAAAATCTTGTCATGCGTTCTTATATTGGCATTATGTTACAGTTTGCTCTCACCATCTGTTCCTATATTAGCAGCATGTTTCATTTTTGCTAAGGTTTTTGAACTCACACTGGTTTTTAAAAAATATTCCTTGTTTTATTGTGAATATCCAATTACAGTCTTTAAATTACCAGAGAAAAGAGATAGATACCATATTATTTTTTCCAGAAAGTGGTCTATTACCTGACAAACAAGTATGCAAAAATGGCTACAAAATGAAACTGTATGTTAATGACAAAACCATTTGGAGGTGCAGTGTGAAAAATTGTAAGAAGAAAAGCCTCCATGTTGGAAATTGGTCCAATGGTTTCAGAATATCATTCTTCACTTTTATTAGATTTATCTATTCTTAGGCAGAGGAACTGATGTCCACTAAATGGTGTAACAAATAGTAAATAAAAATGGTAAAACTGATTGGAACAATTACATGTGGGAAATGTGATGCCTATATCTGATGCAAAAATATAAATGGACGAATAGACAGTCCCAATGAAATAGTTGAAATCAATGAAGTTTGCTTATTCGATGAAAAACAGCAGCGGCAGAGTACTTCCACAACAGTGGATTTTTTGGAAGAATATGACAGGAAGATGGCAAGTGCTTTGTCGTTCGTATCTCAAATGGAGATGCCGGTGTACTTGTGGAGAAAATTATTCAACATGTTGAAGATCCTATTCAGACTGCTGAAAGAGATGTAAAATGGAGCAACTTGAAGAAACTGGTTACAATCACTTTACTCTGAGCCATAAATATAATTTTGTATATCAAATAATGGGTGTTCACATGCATAATGTGGAAAGTTTAATTTGATTTAGCACAGTGGCATAATAAAAGACAATGAGGTGTGGCTCCGCATCACCTTAATCATATTTTTTCAGTATTCACATGGAGAAAGTACATGGGAAAAAATTATGTTTCTGAAGAATTGTTGAAAGCCAATTTTAGAAATATAGCCTATTCATAATGATTACTAAAAACATTCTTAGCAAACAACATGAGTATTATTGTTATTATTATATATTGTGTCATTTATGTTTACATTCACGCTTCACTAATTTGGCAAAATCATAGCTGCGATCTTGCTATAATTCTGCAGTCTTCAAATAAGGCCATTATAATTAGAAATACCAAATAGTTTGAGCTTAAATTTTTTTTAACTTTTTTTTTTTTTTTTTTCTAAAAGGATCAACAGATCATTAGTATTACAAGGAACAATTTACAAACTGAATCCTTCTTTACATAAGACTCCTATAAAAATTTAAATTTTTGCACATTTTTGTTAAAGAAAACTACATAATCAGGACTGTTTTAGTCAAAAATCTTACTTTATTTGATTCATTTCTGAAGTTAAACAACATATTTATGATTAATAATAAAGAAATGAAACTATGAAAAATGTTTTAATATCTTATAGCTGCATTAACTTGTTTTCATTTTTATTGTTTAATTTTAAAAAATTCTCTAGATAGGTTCAACGCTAGGAAAATTTGGGACTTGCACAAAAAATAAATAAAAAGAATATCTTACCTTTATTGCAATAAATCATGTCTCTTCTCAGTGTAAAAATACGTTTCACACTGAACATTCCACTTAATGATAAAGATTCTATTCCTTTAAATTGTTCTTTTTTCCACACAGATGATATTATATCTTCAACATCCACAAAAACGTGAGTCCACTGATGGTGCATATATATATATTTAATATGTAAGTATTAATATTTAAATGCTTTAAAAATATTATCTGAGTTACACATTTAAAAAACTAAAATATTTTTTAAATTAGAAATTATACTGCATTATAATTTGATTAAAAATATTTAAAAATTTTTTAAATTGAAAATTAACTAAAATGATGTGAACTAAGTGAAAATTAAACTAAAACTGACCTCCCTCCCCCTAAAAAAACTGAAGACAGAAGTTATTAGACATCAATAAAATGAAAGAAATGCTTAAATAGTTTGCTGATTAGAATTAATAATTATTCTAAATAATTCCACTTGTCCACTTCAATTCCTAAATAATTCCACTTGTCACTTCAACTTACTACGGTTGATAAAAAGTTTTGAGATTGCCTCTTTTTTCTTTCACAATATTAGATATGGTAATTCTATATTGGGTTTTGTATAGCTACACCTCAATGTGTTTGTTTGAACCTGCAGATGGACAAACATGGCCTGCAATATATATAAGTACATGAAATGGTACATTATGCATATGGTGATGAAATATTTGGATATACTTCAGTATTTAAATTACAGAAATATTTGAAAGTGGTAACATATGAGTGATTGATAAAGCATGCATGTACCAGTATGTTATCTTCTATGATTATGAATGTTACTTGTACACACAAGACCATGGAGTCAATAGTGACTACTATATAAATGCCTCAGACTGCCCTTATAAGTACACCTGTTATGAATCCTCAGTTGTTATGAATCACAATAAGATGTGATTACCATATCAATACCAAATATAATTTTATTCACCAACTCAGTAGTCAAAAAGTCATGTTCTGTTATTTTTAACAAACTGCATTCCAAAGATAAAATCTGTTGCCAAAAAAACGATAATACAATAATATGCAAATTAAACATTTATAATTATTAAAAAATATTTGTGAGTTACTTTCAGACTAATTGATTACATTTTATGCCATTACATTCACTACATCCAGTATTACATTACACCCATCCAGTAACAAACATTACGTTAGAAAAATTGGAAGAAGTAATGGAGCTTATCATGAAAATAATAACAAAATTAATGCATAAATAAAATATCAGTTTTTGAATCGCAATGGTGTCTTTAGAGTTCTACCAGTTTGGGATTGTCTTAAAGCTGATTTGACTTTAGGTTGAGGCACAGTTATTTTGGTTTAAATTTCAGTCAGCGTAGGTGTATTGTTTACACAGTCTGGAGTCGTACGTTTCTCTTGCTCAGGGATTTGTTGTGGTAGAATATATGCTGGCTTCAATCTGTCTATTGATACATTTACTTCTTTATTCTTTATCCTGAGAGTCAGATATTTTGGTGAACAACTGATAACTAAAATACGGACCTTCATATGAAAGTTAGAATTGCTTCCGAACTCCGTCAATGCGAAGAAAAAACGTGAGAAGCAGATTCTAAATCTTTATGTATAAATAATTTAGGGATACCTTCCTGTTGTATTTCCTTCAGCCGAATTAATTCCATACTTTTGTAATTTATGTATAAAATTTCCAGGTGGTGTATGTATTTATTTTCTCTTTAAAGAATTTCACAGGAAGTTTAATACTATTTTCTCCATGTAACATTTTCGGTAATGTATAGTTAGTATCGCTGTGGATTACGGTTTGTAGGTTTAGAAAAACCGTTGGTAATGTTTCACTCCAAATTTAATTATCATGGGCTCTTAAAGCACCTTTATTGATCTGTGGAGATGATTTGGTGATATTTCAGATGAAAATTGAGTTCCTTGGTCAGTTATTAGATGCAAGGGTATTCCAAATCTTGCTATCTAATTGCTATAGAAAGCTTTCGCTACAGTTTCTGCTGAGATGTTTTCAAGTGGAATAGCTTCCATCTGGTATCTGGTATCTTATTTTCTGATTCTGGTATCTACTTCACAGAGTATAAACCAGTCATTTATAAGCCCTTGGGCACTAACGATATTTTTTAACATTAACTAAAGGTACAAACTTTTGCACCATGTCCTAGGGATGAAAATATTTTTATAACATGGAGGCAAGTCAGAGGGAAAAGAGATTCCTCTTACTTTTATGAAAAATCATAGAGATGCTTTAGGTGCCCGGCATATCTGTTGACAGTATAAAAATTTTGCTACTTCGGAGAAACTAGCACAGTACGTGAAAGTCACATGACATGGAGTCACAATCTTATTGACACTAATATAATTAATGAAATTGCTAAAACAAAATGCATGTATAATTATGGACGAGTGAACAGTCCTTGAATAAATCGCACAATAAATATCCTTGAAATCTTGAAATGTATTTAAACATAATAATCTTAAACATATGAATGCATCGCTAAACATGCAAGAGGCGGAAGGTCACATGACCCTGAGAGCCAATTGGCATTAATTAACAGAGGTGTTTCTTGTTTTTAAGAGAGTGAGTAAATTTCCTGTTCAATAGTTATATAATTTATATAAGTTGGCTTTGCCAAATCCAGTCTATCTTGGATACAAAGTCCCAAAATAAACACGAACACAAAACTTGGTAATAAACACAGCACGAAACACGAACACACACTGACTTGAATAAATACTTGGTAATAAAATTCTTGGATAATAAAAATGAAAATAATATTTACAGTACTTACATCACCACCACCTAGGGTTGTGGTGTATTGAACGACGTCATTGGACTACACTCTCCTGAGTAGCGTCATATTCAGTAAGGTTTCTGATAGCAGGATAGTGAGAATTTGACATACTCGTAAAAAAGTTATGAGCTGTAGTGAGTATTTCCTCTTGAATGGGTTTGATTTTTAAGTCATCGTAAAGTTGAGAGTTTCTAATACACCACGGAGCATCTGTGATTGATCTGAGTATTTTATTTTGTAAAACATTCATTTTCTGTCTATCCGTCTTAGTCGCAGTGGCCCAGGCTGGGACTGCATAAAGTAAAATTGGTCGAATAAGAGTAACATAAAGCGTGCGTTTTATATTCAGATTTAACTTCGAATTTCTTCCAATTAGCTGATATATAGCCATAAAAGCTGCATTTGCTTTATTGATCGTGTAGCCAACATGTTCATGAAAGGAGAGAGTCTTTCCACATACACTCAGAGATATTTGTAGGAGTTAGCTGATGGAATAGGAATACCGTCAATTTTTGTATCAATATTTATCTGTTGATTTTTCTTGTACCTCTGGTAGAGCACTATGTTGCATTTGGATGGATTAACTTTTATTTTCCACAGTTTGCACCATGCGTCAACCTGGTTAATCTGAAATTGAAGTTTATCCACCGCATTTTGGAGATTTCGCGAATTTGTGAGAATGACCGTATCATCCGCATATTTTAGCACTTTACTTGAGAACGGGTGAGGCATATCATTAATATAAATTGAAAATAATTTAGGTGAGAGGACGCTACTTTGCAGAACCCCTTTACACATGACTTTCTTACTTGACAACGATTCCCCACATCTTACTTGAAAGGTCCTCCACTTTAAGAAAGAGATCATTAATTTGAGAAAGCTGTTCGGCGGAATAAAATTTGAAAGCTTGTAGATGAGGCCTGCATGCCACACTCGATCGAAGGCTTTCTCAAAATTGAGGTAGCATGCAGCAACCCCATTCTTTTTCTGGAACTCTTGCACTATATATTCAATTAAGTTGATAATTTGGTGAGTGGTAGAATGTCCGGAACGAAATCCGAATTGATTCGGGTCAAAGAAGTCTAATCTTTCCAGATGCTTTATCAGCCGGATGCTCAAAATTCTTTCAAAAACCTTTCCCATAAAGGGGAGTAAGCTGATAGGCCTGTAGCTATTCACATCATGCAGGTTTTTTCCTTGTTTTAGAAGTGTAATTACAAGGGAGTGTTTCCACTGCTGCGGAAAATGAGCAAGTCTGATACAAGCATTAAAAATGGTACAGAGCAGAACAATACAATATCTTGGTAGTGCTTGCAACGCTTCATTATTTATTTCAACGAAAACCTTCGCTTTTCTTTTCTTTAATTTTTTAATAATCTCCTTCTGTCGGAGATGTAAATTTAACAAAATCCGAATTTCACCTACTTTTGATACTGTCAACTACTTGATTAATCTGATTTTCATGATCAGTATCTTCATCTGTATGCCTCTCATAGACCTTGCTGAGGTTTAAAGCCAAAATTTCTAGCGATTTCTGCCTCGGAGTGATGAGTTTGCCCCCTGAAGTCAATTGGGTGTAAATATCTTGTCTTTGTGCTCCTCAGTGATCTCGCAATTTTCCATACCGTGTAGGTGCTAGGATCTACATGTATGTCTTCTAGTAACCTATTCCAGCTATCGGACCTGTATTCAATAATTTCCTGCTTTATTTTCCTCGTGAGATAGTTAACAAAGCTTTTATCTCTCGGGTTCCTGGTCTGTTGCCATTGCTTCCTTTTTTGGTTTCGCTGTTTGATTAAATTTATAATATGCATAGGGAGCTTCTGGTAATTATTTTTCCTGCTAGTAAAAGAAGCGTTTTTAATGGTGTTTTGAATTTTTGAGTTCAGGTTGTGTACCACGTTTTCCAAGTCTGCACAGTGATTAATGGAGAATCTACACAGTATGCTCGTAAGTTGGCTTCTGAAGAGTGTCCAGTTGACCTTTTGCTGAATTTTCTGAAGCAATCGAAGTTAATTGGCCTGTGATCAGATGAAAGTTCATCTTTAACTTCTAGTAGAGGTGTTGCAGATATTTTTTAGAATTAGGAGGTCCAAAATATCTCCACTTCCATCCTGATGATACCTTGTGGGGATATCTGGCGTGATAATCCTTATGCTGGAATTAAGTGCATAATTACACAGTATCCTTCCATTTCTGTTATCATGTCTACAGTTCCAGGAATAGTGCTTGGCATTAATGTCCACTGCAATCAACGTCGGTAAATTGGAGTTTGTGAGAGCGTCCAAATCTTGAGCTCTGAGAGTCCTAGCTGGGGGATGATAGACCAAAATAAATAAAACCG